ATTAGGCGTGTATGACATAAATCAGATATTTATTCAATACACATGTCAATGTGTAAATATAATGGTATTAGCTAATCGGAGCTCAAACCAGGTGACGTCATTCGACAAAAAATCAATTCATGGATGGGAGATATATTTCACAACACGTAATGAACGCAATGTTTAGGTACTACAAGTATGCGGTGTTAGCGTATCACAGAACCGTCAACTTATCATAACATGAGACATGTTTTGAGATGTGTTGGTGTAGACTCTGCTTACCTCTAATTTATCATACTATAATCTCCAATCAGAAAGGAGACGGTCAAAATGTCAATATTTATATTGATATGTCGTGTACACACACCATGGTATGCGTGTGTTGTTCCAAACACATACAACTAGACCACATTAAAGATAAAGATAACCGATTAACAGACAAACAATATCTCACTTAAGTGGCCCATAAAAACATAACTACAGCAGTCATGCACACCAGACCACGGTGAGTTCCTCGCAATAGCCAGCCACCTGTTGTCTTTGTGGGACGATTTTTTGGATTTACGCCTGTTATGATTATTCACACTAATTCGCCTCTCAGTGAAAATATACACTGAAGTTAGACTGGGCATGCACGTTATACATTATTTATAAATCTAATATTTTTATAGTCTAACGAAAGATACGCATTATGTGAACTCGTGTGGCGACGTAGGCCGTTAGGTTTGATTCGGATGCGTAAGAATTTGCGGAACGGGGAGACGCCTGCCGAACCAATCGAATCGTCCTGTTTGGATTCAACGATTTTCGATTAAAAACATGTTTAATCTTTATACGTATATTTATAAGACCAAATATTATTTTACTGACTTCAAATTGAGTCAAAAAAGACATGTGGGACCAATTTTCAATATTTAAATATTGGTGAATTTTACTTAATGGCGCAAATTACGAAACTGAAACTAACTTCTTCTTCTTCTAACGAAGGGCGACTTGAGTTCGGGGACGGACGTTTTTCCCTGAATAAATTTCCTGGCGGTAAAACATCAATCATTTAGGCATTCTCTGTCCACTTATTTCACCCTTTGCATATTAAACTCCATATCAGTGGCACGTATCTATTTCAATTGTATTTTCCTTGAGCGCATGGACAGAAATTCAATTGAACCACAACCTCCGTTAGTCGGTTCCGCCTTTGCCATTCTTTTTCTGATGTCTTTTGTTGAAAGCAGTTTCGTTACCTGGACAACTAAAATAGGGTTTCCCAGACACCCGCACCGACCACTACACAGTTGCGCTATCTTTTGCATCTCAGAGTTAAACACGTGCGGCGCGTCAAAGAGCAGAGTGTTAAATGTTAACTCTCGTATTTGAGTTTTCCCTTTCTCTGAATAGTTCGCATACTTTGTTAACATTTTATGGTAACCGGGGATCTTATTATAGCGTACAATCTTTGCACAGTTTCGACTCATTGCAAGTAATTTCTAAAAAGTGCGCTGCAAAGGGGGGGGGGGGGTAGGAAATATCACGCTGTACGACATTCCTGAGTACGGGCCACGGATCGAGCGGTAAGGCCCGGGGTTAAGGCTGATCACAGACCACGTGTCGCGGTTCCCTAAAAGAATTTCTATGGTGTTCTCGGTAAGTTCAAAGCATATTCTACCAACTGGCGTTAAATGTTGCGTGACCTTGGGTGAAATTGTTTCATCCATCCCCGTATTATAAAACTAAACGAACCACAGTCTCCGCTATAATCTGGTGATTAACACGTCTCATTACAAACGTCGTTTGCCTCGTAATTTAATTAAAGACGACTTTGCGGGAAGTCTTTGACGATCATGTCATCACAGCTGACGCATCCAATTGCCGACACTAGAGGCACGACTTGTAATCCAACAAAGACACGATGAAATGTTCGCATACTTTAAACAAACTGCCAATGAGGACACAACCTTGGGTTTCCAAGGTAACATCGGACCAATACTACTAGTCCTGCTCACATTACCTGTAAATGGAGATTTATCTATTTATGTATTGATATATAACATTTATAATAATTTTACACTTATTATGAAATCGTGGTCCCATTAAATCTTTATCTGTATAGTAAAAGTGATTTAAAACTAACTATAAAAACAATATGACATAATAATGCCTTAGAATAATAAATATCAAGATCTTTATAAAGTAATTAATATTGTGTTTCCCGAGTTTTATGTTACACTTTTATACGTCATAGAACTGAAACTAAAAGTTTTAAATAAATTTAAATAAATAAATAAATAAATAAATAAATAAATAAATAAATAAATAAATAAATAAATAAATAAATAAATAAATAAATAAATAAATAAATAAATACAAATATTACCTAGACATTATTGCGATTCCTTTCTCTTTCAAAGTATAGACATACTCACAGTTACTACTGCGTGAATCTGCATTAAGTATTTGCACAGAGCCATAGTACTGATAAGTTGATATCGTACCACCAAACAGTGGATTAAGATTTAGTAATCAGTTCCGTGATCACTGACAAGTAAAGATACAAGTAAAAGTGACATATGTGTTCATTAAATGGTTCACTCGGTGAACTGCGTGATATCAAAGCTGTTATTATTGACTACCTATTGTTATAGTTTGCGTGTGAATACGAGCGGTTTCAAAAGTGCGAATGATTTTGATCACAAAAAGAACGCTATTCTAGTAACGAAGCAGCATGCTGACCTTGAATTTCTCATGGGTCATCATCTCACCGTTCTCGCGGACAATAGAGGGATTATCACGTGACAATAGATGATCGTGACACCATGAATGCCGATTATGACATCATTCTTTTGTTTTACAAAATCAGTATAGGTATGATGCACCATGGGAGTACATCCAGTGTATATAGGTGGAAATTCAGGGTTTAAGAATGGACGCTTCAAAAAAATGTCTTGACATTAACTTTCCTTAGTCGCTTTGTCTTTGTTAGTTTCAATTGAAGTTACGACTTGGTCCACATTGTAAATTTTAAAAATTGGTGTAATATCTGGCTTTTGCAAAACTCTCCGTATTTCGGGAGAGAAGTGGTTGACCCCTGGTGTGATTGGTTAGTTCAGAACGGAACCTCATACGTGTCCAATTTATTACAAATACGTGTTTGATAAATTGCGATATCAAATAAACGTAATTTGGTATGTCAGCTAAGTAGTTGTTCATAAAGTCACAACTTACCAACGATGGTGATTTATAAAACAAACTTATGCATTCCCCAAACAATATTTCAAATTTCACACGTTAGTAGTAACTTTGCGTTTATATGTTACACTGTAACTTTAAAGCAGATGGGGCGTGGCTATATTATAATGGACACGTAGTAGTTGTCACATCCCTATATCATCATGAAAATATACAAATGATAAATGAATCGTCGGTGGTTGTGAAAAGCCTTTAATCGTGAACTCAATGAACTCTCTTGCTATAAATACACCCATGGTATGCCAAACTTCAAAAACAAAAGCGCAAAACAAAATGCTGTCTCTGCTTGTGTCCGGTGATTGCGGTTGTTGGATTATGTTCGTTATGTATACGCGTACGTCCAATTACTTGTGATATATTTTTACAAAACTCGGCCAATCTTAACTCGCCAAGAACTGTATGTGGTTTAGTTTGGGGGCGGTGCTCATTGCAAACATTGTGACTATATATCTTAAATCATCGCGTTCATGGTTCTAATGTAGAAATATTTGGATTAAAGATACCGAAAATCTCAAAATTCCGTTAGTGATGCCGTTCATTTCTCGTGATTTAATCTTTCGTAGACAAGTTACTCGTTGTTCGTTCAGCTCATCGCAGTAAATAATCCCTAATACATAATCCATTTTCATGTCCACGTGGTGGTGTTCTATACTAGTACGGTTACCATGAATTCATGGTAACAGTATCGACTTTCTTGTGTAGTTGCGCAAGATAGTCTATGAATACATTCTGTTTCTTCGTATATATATACCCATTCAACGCACGCATTCTCCTTACGGTAAGTACAGTTCACTTTGTGTCGAATTCCAGTCAATTCAGCCTTCGTCTGATAAACATAATATTGTAATAACCCAAATTACCCCAGTTGACTGAACTTGAATGTATAAACAAATTAATAGATAGGTCATTGACCCCTGAAGAAAAAAAAAGAGATGTGGTCCGTGATATACCAGTAACTGTGGTAACGCTACAATATTTCTCGGTAATGGTAAATTTGGGAAGTAACCAATGGAAAGTAGGTCGGGTGTGGGAGAGCTCAGTTTTTCAGCGAGTGTCACTGAAGCTTACAGCAATGCCGTGCTAACAATTCTTTGACGTTACGTTATGTTTTTTCCCACCGCTGCCCCCACGTGTAGTAAATAAAACATACTGAAACGTGAGTTAGCAGTCCATCCCACCCCTTTGCAATTTATGACAAAAGTAATAAACTACAATCTCGGGGCTACCATCTAGTTAACTTATTTGTTGAATCACGCCCGTGTTTTTGTTCTTTACATGCAGTGTGAAAGTGAACCAGTATGTGGGAAGATTTGCATTGGTGTGAACACGTGACTCACGGTCTGGAGTGATGCAGAATGCCAACAAGTCAAGCCAATGAATGCGTTTGAGGGGAAACTTGGAACAATGCCCGGGAATATATTTAGTTTTGACTTCTTTTAATTTCGCCGACACTCCGTGGGGTGGAAAATGTATACATGACTGAACTGCGGGGACTATCCCGCTCAGAACCATAGCTGCTTATCCTGGATTGTTTCAATGGACAATGTGTCTATCGGCCCACCTATGTAGATGAATATTACTACAAGTTGTGACGTCACTGCAAACATGCTGCCTGAATTAGAAGAGTGACGTGGGTAAATTGGTTGTTTATTTAAGGTGGCTTTGTCGGCGCCTTTTTATGTGTTTGTAATCGCCAGAATGAAAGGGCGCCTAATTGCTCTTGTGTGGCGTGAAAAGGCATTTAACGCAGTTCACCAAAGCAGGTCCATTCAGTCGAGGTTTTCTCTTCCTGCGGTCGCGATCGTGTGTAAATGTGTCTTTAATACTCAAGAGGTTCTCAGCAAACCACAGTGACAACACACTCGAGTCGTCGCGCCTGATACTGATTTCCACGTATATCCGGCTTCAAGTTATAAAATCATTGTGAATCCACAGAGTCTCTCACACCGGAAGAAACGTTGAACTCTGCTCATCACCTAAATCAGTTTTATTATTCGCGTGGTTTCCGATTCAAGACACCGTAAAAAAAAAAACCGCAGAATAGTCCGACTATCATCATGGCAACACATTTATCGTCGTGGACAGCGCTAACCATTGTATGTTTCATAACACTTTGGTTGCATCTAGTGAATGCAGTGCGGCCGGAATTTGACTTTCGTCTTGAAGTGGACGACGCAAGTCGACGAGACCGATCCCATTTAAGTGGAAGCGATGGTGGCGCAATTGGAACATCAGTATTAGTGGTAGGTTGAGTTTTTTTATTACACATAATCATGTATTGCAATATTCTTATGTCGTATTTACACTGAACCAGCAGTACGGAGAATAATTCATGACACGAGGCGGGTTGAATTATATTATGTTGGCAAAATAGCAATTACTATATACATTGTACGTATCGAATAATCACCTACGGCTGCGTGTCGACAGGTGTGCGATGACATTTGGATTTCTAAGTGTCTTCTAGCGGTATTATTTGTTTCCATTTATTCCCAAGCTTGAAACCCATCGGCAAACTATATGAAAGATTTCTTCTTCTTTTGAACTCTTGTATATTTGAAATTATTATCGTGCTATTGCCAAGAAACCACGTAACGCAATGGCATGTTATGATGGGTGGGGGTTTTAGCGAAATCTCGATCAAGTGAAGCCGACGTTACGAGATGTTAAGAGGTCGTATTAAAATGACAAAAACTACCAACACTGGGATTTATTTATTTACCGACGTCTATAATTTAAGATATATCTGGTGGCGGTTGGCACTTATTGAGTAAACCGCAATGTAAACTGTTCGAAGGACTACTTTTTGTGCAACGCCCCGCCTAGTCGTGGCCAGCCCGCACGCTGAGAGTTGCGTTGTTCTGTTTTACAATAGGGGCATACACATGATTACATTCTACTCAAATCGGCCCTCCTAATTCCGACTCGCACTTCATCCACGAGTGCGCCTTAAATGCGCCCTGTGCTTTGTGGTCGCCCCCGATTCCGAAAAAAAAGAGAGTGCATATTTCCGCCGCTTTGTCGGCACGGTTTGATCGTCATCGCGACAGCATTCCAGGGATCGATGGGAGACCCATTGGGACAACGGACTGAACACTATCAAATACGACTGAACTCACAGGCATGTGAGAAATGTGTATTATGCGTTGAACATGAAATATACACGAAGTCAGGATTGGAAACATTCACATTCTCGTGCAGAGCTTAGTGTTGAGACATCACAACTGAGGCGCGTTTCTGCACAGTGTGACTTGAATGGCTTACTTTTAATAAGATAGCCCATAACTGCTTTCAGTTTGACAACATCGTCTTGGACTGGAAATGTGATAATCAAAAGTTTCTTTTCACGACACTCACCCACTATAGGCAAGCTGCTACATATTTTAAATCAAATAAAAAACTTTCAGAATCTCAGTTATTAACTAGATGGATGTTCAGTGTTGCCGAAGTCGTGAAGCGCGAATTCTAAAGCAAAATAACGAAATGTTCTTCCGTAAACGAGAATCAACAATTTACAAGTTAGGTTTAAAAACACTAAAACTGCCGTAAATTAAATTGAACAGTTAGATTGAGAACTTTACTTGTGAGCGCATATACAGTATATTAATTATCTGTAGACGTCGTCAATAGAAAGAACGATTCCTGTGAGAAATACGTATATAGTACGGCCGTCTATTGCCCGACCCTGTTTGCTGGCTAACCACAAAGAGTAAACAACATGTTTCCGCTATCACATGCAATCGATCAATGTCATCCAGTTATTTCACGAAATATTTTGTCGGATTTAGAACTTCTTTGTACGTCTCATTGTGTGGTGTGCATAGCAAGAAATTGCGCCTTACTTATTTATGTATATGCTTTAAAACATAAAAACTAAAAATATTCGCTGTGATGGAAAGCAGAACTCGATAGGTACTTCAGTTTGTGTTCTCATGGACACGCCAAATAAATCAAAACCTTGCATTATCAGAATTTCTGACTTTCTTCCGGGACCATTCTATAAATAACTAAAAGTTTGTTGATATTGGGTGACTCCGAAATTGCAACAATGTGTATTATTACACTGCTGTTTCGCTAAAAAAAGTTGACAATGTGGTGCCGCTGAACGATCGTATTCCCAAATAAACTTGTTCAAGTCAACGGGTGATTACGCCCACCACTCACGTGCACAGGGGCTACAAAAATAATAAAATGAAAAAATGCGGCATAGTTGCGGGGTGGGGTGGGGTATTTGAGTAATTAATTCACAAACCCGCGGAAATATCGACCTAATTCAAGTTTTTTTTAGTAATCATGATTTCAAACATCGCTGGAGCTTTTCGATTGTGTGTGTGGGACAGACAGTTTGGGAAGTTTTTGAAAAATTAGTTTAGTTCGTGATGTAAAATATTGTGTTTTATATTTATTCCAGTGTTTTGAATATATGCAGGACTGATAGCATAAAATCTTGTCCTTGGCTGACCCAATTATGCCGCATATACACAACACTAAATATGTTTTTTTCTTTATTTCCATGCCTTCAGATTGAATGTGTCAACGACGACTCTTGTGATCGAAACGAGTTCTGTCACGGCGCAGAAGGGCACCGACTTTGTCTGTCTTGTAGACGTAATCGACGTCGTTGCCATAGAGATGAAATGTGCTGCCCTGGTCACAAATGTAATGGGGGGATGTGTATCTCGGAACAATCAGGACGTCGTGCTTCCCGCATTTCGCAACGCACCAGAGACAACATGTTCACCGGTGAGCTAACATTCTTACTCTTATTCGGGGTGCTGGGATTCCGTAGGGGGCGATCTACGCGATCTGACATTTTGTCGCTAGGTCACGTAATACAATACCATCAATAGGAAGTGGTGAGATCGTAGTGAGACCACAGCTCCCACAATCAGGTCACTGCGAATTGCTTATCAACAATGTCGTGTATATGTATGGATGGGTGAGTGACAAATCGTCTTAAATGCCTCTTTGCGACACCAAATAGTTGTGACATACATTTGGTATTTTAACATAATAAGTTTACGAGAGCGTGTGTGACAACATATTAACGGACTACCCAAACTGAAAACTTAAAATGATTAAAATGGTTTTCTTCAATTCGTTTATTCACATCTGTATTACAAACATTTTCAAATGATGACATTTCTCGGAAGATAACCGATAGATTTCTTTTTGAGTTCCATATCGAACAGGACGCGTCACGATGACCGCCGCCCTTTAAAAATGTATAAGTGAGTAGTTTTCTTTGAGAATTAACATAATATTTTGTTTTATTCAGGTCACATAGGTTCATCGTGCCGACACGAGAATGATTGTATGGAGGGCCTCTGTTGCGCTCACCACTTTTGGGAACGACGCTGCAAGCGAATGTTGGAGGTTGATGACGTATGTACCAATGACCCAAAACCACCACGAATGCCATCATTCCAGCGGTGTCCGTGCAGCGACGGCCTAATGTGTAAAAGGGATCCCACGGGGGAAACTCAACTGCATTTGTGCCAACGCAGTAAAAATTGAAATAATAAACACGTGACCTACATAGCTGGTCGTCCGCTGCTTGCAACAGATCGTACGAAGTCCATGTTTTGAAGTTGTCTGTCGCCCTCTATTAATATTTTGTTTTTATAATGAAACAAACTCGAGAGGGCTCACTCCTGCATAAAGTCGACGGATGTCATCACGTCATTCTTCAACATTTATATATATAATCATGTGAACACTGTACATGTATCGGATTGTTTTGGTTTTATCAAAATATTAATAATATACTTTATTAAAACAGTGACACAATGGCAAAATTGTTGTTTTATCCACAGTCTCTCTGTGTTTTATCCTGTGCCAAACGTTCAGTTCTGACTTGACCATTCAACAATTTATTTTCTCATACTTATTTATTTATTATACAGGAAGTATATTTGAGTAATCTTTTAATCCAGGCAGAGATCCTGTCATGTATTGATGAAACAACAATGTACAAATTTGAACTATGACCTCTTCTGCGGGCTCTACTGTTTTGCTGAAGGCTCTCTGGGTAACTTGGATTCTAAGTCAGAGGGCGCTCTAAGCGTCAATGTCTTGTATTATATTGTATGGCTACAGTACATATGCTTGTGAAGCACCGGAATGAGTGTTTGTCAGATATTCGGAATATGTATTTGTGTAAATATTTAACATTTATTTGTAGAGTATTATTCAATAAATCGAAAATGATTTAAACGAATCTGACACCGTTGCTGACTATTTCCTGAATATAACTGTTACATTGTACACCCGGCGACTATGCTTAAAGGGTGGCGGTCGTTGCTCCACACATGTATGATATATGGGTCTCATATGAACACAAATGTCGACTTTGACTGTTGCGCAGACTAACAGTTACAAACTGATGCGTTACCCAACTTTAGCTATGTAAGTTCTTTGGTGAATGGAGGTATCGAAGGAGTCACCAGTGGTAGTTAGTGTACGCCCACGGTCACGTCCAAGTCAAAACCCGTACCCGATTTTCATTAAAATAGCGCAAATGGATTGTGAGAAAGCCAATGTTTATCAACACAAACTTCACACATGCGCGGCGCGACGAACACCGCCCACCTTCACCACAACTCGGGTCATCTAGAAATGAACAAATCTCTAAAAACAGTATTTTTTAACAGTGAATGTCTTCGTCATAGGAACACCTTGTCGCTGTGCACCTTATACAAACTATTTTTAAAGGGAGTTCCTAATTATTTGGAGATTACTTAAATCTAAGACAGAGTTGTGATTGGAGTAAAAAAACTGTCAACAACTATTTGAAGGACAGTTGTCGTCACGAAGAGTGGAAAATATAGTTTGTTTACACGACCATCGTCCGTTATATGCATCTACGCAAAAGAAGTCGAACCTTATGGTTTGCCATTTATTTGGTTCAGTCCTATTCTACCTGGTCGAGAGTTGCCATCAAACGATCATTTCCTATCTTTAATCACATGCGCAAACCGTAGATTAATATGAGGTGTTTGTGAATAACTGGGATACAAAGTATTAAAGCGGGAGGGTCGTCACCTGCGCACGCGTGGGAATTGAGTTCCAAGCGACAATAACAACACACTCTAAAAACGCAAAGGCTCATGGGTAGACGCTTGTGTGTAACCAATGACACGTATGCGCAGATGACGACCCCCCTCCCCGCTTTAATAACTTTAATAAGTTAAATAACTTATTGACATTATTCATTTTGAATAAAACATAGTCCAATCTATAACTAAATAACACTTCATAAATACATACACAAAAACATACTAATACAGTTTAACAAAAGGGCTTGGAAATATCAGGGAATTGATAATTACTGTATCACATTACCATACTTTCTTTTATATTAATACCAGGCTGTATTAATGTGGAAGTGTTGCCCATAATGTATTTAAATTTTGAATCTTCATCCATCAAATGGAAATTAACAGTTTTATTTTTAATTGAGTCAAACAATTTTCACCTAATTGTAATATGTTGTGGGCATTTCATAACATAATGGAATTCATCCTCAATTGAATTTGTGTTGCATCTTGTACAGATCCTGTGTTCAACTTTAAACTTTGGCCTTAAGTGCCTGCCTTTCTCAATCATTAAGTGATGGTCACTTATTCTTAGTTTGAATATTCTTTTTCTTATTCCACCATCCTTAACATTATTTATATACTCCTTCATTTTAAATTCTGTTTTGAATAATTTATATGTTCTTAGTTCATTCTATTCCCCTGTCCCATCTGTATTTATAATTTTTTTCAAATTTGAATCATAGTCAGTCTCTACACGTTTAAAAATTTCTTTAATGTTATTTTCATTCCCACTCCAAAAGTTACCCACTTCTTTTTTAGCAGTAATTTCTTGCATTGACTTAGCCCATGAGCAAGGCCGTAGCTAGCGGGGGGCAGGGGGCGAAGCTGCCCCCCCTGAGTTTGGGAGTTTTTTTTAAACCTTAAAATAAAAAAGTTTCGAGCAACCACGTATTTAGTTTGTACACAATTTGAAATGGAACATGGTAAGCCAGTTGCGTGTACTTTGTTTATATTTATTACTGAGCGCGTTGACACTTTGACGCGTACAGGTAAGACGCATGCACCCAGCACAGCGGGTCAAACGTTACCTTCAAGTATTTCATATTGACACGTCAGCCATGTCAGCTCTGAAGAAACGTTGCACACAACTGTCAATGTTGATTTTTTTTTACATCATTCCTTCCCCAGAGGTGATTTATTCGAGGAAAGCTAACTGGAGATAAATTTATATACTATTGCCAAAGTTGTAAACATAAACTGTGTATTGTACAACTATCAATTGTATTAATCAGTCCTGCAAATTAATATTGCTTATATATGAAGATAGAACAAAAGTGTTTCAGGTTTTAAAGTTCATACTGTAATACCCCTTGTTTTGTATATAATCATAAAATATATCAAGATGATTTTATTGTTAACAAGTCATTATTAATGACACAGTCCCCGTCCAAAATGTTGTGATCTGACATATCAATTTGATGCTGATGAAGTCATTGAGATTAGATTAAAACCATTAATAGGAGATGGATTTGTAAAAAAGTATGATTTAGTGCTTTTACACGAGAATTTGACATTGGGCAATCATATTGAATCAAATTACATAAATAATGTTTGTGTTGAGATATCTATTGGTACACTGTCTTTGTACAAAATTTAAACAGAAATGTTCTTTGCATTCATGGGACAGTAGGCATGAAAAACAAAATGGCCACTCAGTCAGCCATATTAGTTTAAATCACATAAAAATATGACATGCAACTATAACCCAATATGTATGATCATCATATCAACTTTGATACAAATCGGCCCAGTCATCTCTGAGAAACAGCTCCGGACATGTAAAAATGACGATTTAGCGCTTTTACATGAAAATTGGGCGTCGGCCAGCCATATTGAATTGAATCACAAAAATTATTTGGTGCAGATGTATCTCTTGGTATACTGTCTTTGTACAAAATTTAAACAGAAACGTTCATTTCATTCACGATAAAGTATCATGGGTACCATGAAAAACAAGATGGTCGCCAGTCGGCCATATTTGTTCGAATCACGAAAAAAAATACGTGCACCTACAACCCAATATGTATGATCATCATACCAACTTTGATCCAAATCGGCCCAGTCATCTCCGAGAAACTGCTGCGGACACGTTTAGGTGTCAGAAATAGCAAATTTTACATCCAAAATGACCGCCAGTCGGCCATTTTTCTCCGATCATAAAGTAACTTGACGCGCATATGTATTGTCTTCATGTAAAGTTTGAATGAAATCCGTCAATGGGTGTCCGAGATATAGCTCCGGTCGTACGGAACAAACCCAAATTAATAGTCTCCGTTTTCGGGGACTAAAAATAGATAGATACCCCCCCCCCCCCATAGCCATTAACTTATGGTGCAACTGCACAGCTCTACGCCTTTATACATTTATACGCAATTTAAAAAAATACATTTGCTGCCCCCTAGTGAAAAAAAGCTAGCTACGGCCCTGATGAGGATTAATTTTCCATCGTACTCATCATTGCCTCATGGACTAGAGTATTTTTTTGTGTGCGTGCTTGTTCTTAACCAAAATTTCAATAACATTTTCTTAATAAATATTGACAGTGGGTATCTACCTAATTCTCCTCTTACTGCTGGATTGGTGGATGATTGATTTACCTGTAATAATAACTTACATAATTTTGGATTTCATTTTTCCACAGGTGTTTTGTCAGTGTATTTTGTTCGCGTAATATTAGCACCGTCCATCGACACCGTTGAGGGACTGTGATATTAGCAACTGACAGTCATTCGTTTTGCTTAACATATACTGTGACGTTGAGGGCAGCATGCAACAACTAAAAGACACAAACCGGGCGAATATGTATACCAAGAACGAACCTCTGTAATAGTTACACAACACAAACACACCGTTTTGTTTCCTTCGTCGGACAGTAATGCAGTTTGATGTCACATGTAGTCCTACATATCAACAGATTATGTCAAAATATCGAAAACCAGCAAGATATAAACTCTAAATTTAATAGGCCAAAAAAAATTGTTTTGTTGCCCTAAGCGACCGACCGAAAAATATGAAATATTTTTTGTTTTTGTTTTTTAATGGCCCAAATATTTAAAACTCACCATTTTAAGCAGTAAAAAAGTGTTCCCTCTAAAAATTAACGATCCCGGAGCGGGGGGGGGGGGGTCAGTGGCTACTTTGAACCTCGGGCTAATCTGTATTTCTCTGACATGTTCCGAATACACGTCTTTTGCATTTCAGGCCATTTTGACATTTGCGATTCGACGGATAGTTGGTGCACTAAATTAAGTATTTTCTTACAAAACGTGACATTTTTTATTAAAACTCTTATCCGCCTACATCACAAACAAAACGACGGCTTTTGCACGTTGTTTTAGCGCTGTCAATATTCTCACTTCTGGGTTTGTCATCGTGTGTACGTACATGTGAACAGCGGTCAGTAGCAAGCATGACATGACAGCAAAAGCTGGATCTATTAAATTTTGCAAAGTCACGTCACTTAAAAATTTTCCGACTTGAGGGCAACATAAGTTGTTGTTTTTTTGGCCTTACACTGGCATTTTTCACAAACAGTTGCAATCTTATTTTGTGACATAATCCACCTTTTTTGTACATTAAATGATTTCCTCGTCTTTAATAATAATTTAATAATATAATTGTTTTGTTGCTGTTGTGCACACTACAAACGCAGATGACAGATATGTTTACCAAAGACACTTTTAGCATCATGGATGGGTCAAACATCCGTCAAAATAGCGATGTAACAGACGGTGAAAATGTCACATGTAGTTTTAAGATATATACTTATTGTTGTTAAGAATTGGTAGGAAATTTTGAAGAAATATGAAATAATGAATATCATATGTTGTATTTCCAGTTTCCGAATCTGAATGTACTCAGGAAAAAACGTTGAAACTGTCACGGTGGATGCTTAGAGGAAATTAACTGCAGTCTATAAATTAAGTTAGATATGTCAACATGCACTGAGTTATTATCACTGTTTTTCTAGGATGGTCAGTTACTTTGTATGTATGTTTGTCTAAAGAATATGAATGTCATTACTTTAAAAGTTAGTAGTAGGGGAAATTTTTTTATCAAAAAGAACATTTTTATGCACGTCGTGTTTTTATTTTGTTCAGGGAGTGATGTTATATACATTTGTAGAATGAAAATAATACGCTCATTTCGCATTTTTCCCCAAAAAATTAGCTCGTGATGAATTCTGCAAATTTATGAATCAACATTTTACACATTGTTCTCCATATTTAACCTTTGAAACGAGTCGTGTCTTGAACGGTCAGTAGCAACAGACCGAAGAACATGTATACAAAAGCAACAGTATTAACAAAATCACCGCTAGTGGCGGTATGATCTCGTTTATCTTTCTTTAATGGCAAGGTCGCAGTTTTTTCTATCCCATTGTATGCATATTACCTAGCCATCTTATAAATCCGTGGCACTGGGTGTTGACGCCAAAAGTGACCGTAATACAATAACATACTAATACACTTCACTCTTTGTAGAGGTTACCCTTGAAATACAACTCATTGGGTTAATAAAGTATATGTTATATAGATAAACAATAATTCGTTTACAATTTTCAGTATCAGCCAGAACATACTTCTAAAACTGTCGCACGTGTGACATGAATTGTTTGTTCACCTAAAATTTAATTAACCTTTGTCTGTAATTAGGCACCATATTAAATATATATCTTTCTTTATAAGTATGCATGCATTTAACAAAAAAATCAATTAAATAAAATAAGATAGTATTATAATCAATAATGGTACTACTATGAATGTTTTTCAATAAAGTGTTAGCGAATGTCTTTTTTGAAAAATGCATATTAACCATATAAATCGAAAGGGTCCAGGGTCAACTGTACAATTCCCAGGGACTCGGTGGCAACAAATTCTAACGTGACTGTCACGAGGCTTTACTCAGCTGATGTCGAGAAAACAAATGCATACATATCAACTTCATTGGTATGTTGATTTGTGTGATATAACTGAATAATGTATTAAATATTGGCTGAACCATAGACCTTAAGGTCTATGGCTGAACTTGCGTTTAGAAATGACAAATATTAAATATTTTGAATTTTCAGTTTTAAGTCCAAATTCATTATCCCCACTGTTATTTGGATCCATGCCAATTTACTTGTGTTATTTTATGTCCCCGTGGCATAAATATAGAAATAATTTGAAAATCACGTGAGTAAACACATTTAAAAGTGGTTTTTACTGGCTGTGTGATGACGTGCTTAGAAACTCGTATGCTCCGTATCCTGGTGGTTATATTTGTTTACCTGAAAGTCACGTGCCTACGGGTAATGATCTTTTTTTTTACACGAGTTCTTCGCATGACAGACGCCCGCGCATGCCGCTGTGGGCTACAACCAATCGTATTATGTGTTTCATACAATGTGAATTTCTATTGACCAATCAACGGAGTCGTTATTATCGGGATTATCGGGAGTCATATGATCAAAATGGCGCTGATGAAGAAGCTGTTCCTTCGCGACCGGAAAACTGGTCGCTCTACACGATTTGGTCTTTCAAAAAATTGCCAAAACTTTATGTAAGTATTATTTATTATTGGTGAACAGATAATTTTAATTTCATGGGAATTGGTAGATCATAGCACTTGGTATTATCCGACGAAGTGTGTGAGGTACGTTCGCTTCATGATGGAATCAATGCGACCCCCCCGTGTAAAACCCGAACTGTCATCCATGTTTGTTTACACTTTTAATGTACATGGATATATGCTCTGACGAACTTCAATTCAAGTTTGAAATATGATATTTATTTTTTACTTTATTATTCTGATTTGTATTTTGACAATGCACAAATTACAATCAAGTGTGTGCACGAATTCAGCTGTCCGGGGACCTGGGTTTGGACGGGGTGCACTGTCGACGTAGCGTTCCCCGAACTTGACATTATAAATATCATACTAAATTATTTCCAATACTAGTATGACCCGATCCGCTTCTGACTTGCGTACTTTGAATATAATTATATGTCATATTCCTTAATAGGAGTGTTTTTACTTTTTACGAGATTCCACCCGTGTTTATACCTCGTCAATTTCACAATGAGTGTGTGGATGATTCAATGTCAGTTGACAAGAACGTCTCAACCCACTCGCCGTCCTTGCCCTCGAAAACAAGATTTCTAGACATCTCGACCCAAAAATTTCTCGACCCAAGACACTTCGACCCAAATTGGACATCTCGACCCAGACACCCTGGGCATCTCGACCCACCGCATCGACCCGACCCTATCTAAGTGTGGCGACGCGAACGTCTATCTAGTTCAACGTTGATAATGTTGCTCTTTGATAACTTAAAATTCTCGCGATATTGCGTATCGTGCTGTATATGAATGCTGTGTTTGAATGAACGACATTTATTGATTCGAAACATTGAAAACAGGGAACATGATCGAACCGAACCTTAAACGCAAATCGACCGCCATCTTTGGTTCTACCATTTAACGCGGTGGGTAGGTGTATATAACGTACGGCATTTTTTATTTTGTACAGCAATAATATATATAAGGCGGCGGGTCGTCCGAAATAAGTGGGTCGAGATGTCTAGGGGTCCTGGGTCGAGTTGTCCAATGAAAAATGGGTCGAGATTTTTTTGGGTCGAGATGTCTAGCACTCGAAAACAACATCACTTTTAGGACATCACGTACATCCTTAAGTCGGACATTCCAATCATTTTCAAATTACGTAAAATCTTGTGAATTTAATGTAATGTCGTCTATTGTGCACTGTAATATTTGTCATGTATTTGTCACAATTTCTTACAAAAGAGAAGGATATTGTCACCAAAAATACAGTAAATAGATTTACTGTTGTTATACTTGAAATGGTCTTTACAGTATTTTGTATTATAATACTGTAGAATACTTTATTTTCGCTTGGAATTTATTTTCGCTATTTTCGCTGAAGGGATGATTCAGTGAAAATAAAATCCAGCAAATATACTTTTTTTCCCTATATTTCACATTAAACTCATTAAAAATCAGTGAAAATAAATTCCATACAAAACGCCCAAAAAGCATTTTCAACGAAAATTAATTCCAGCGAAAATAAAGTATTCCACAGTACATTAATTTATCTAACTGCACACTTAAAGTGAGTCATTATATTAACTGTAAATGAAAATGTTTTTTTTTTTTAGTCAGTCAGTTTGTATGTAATTGATTACTATACAAGTTATGATGATGACTATGAATATCTCAGATGAGGAAATTAAATTATGAAAACATAGAACACATTTGTTTCCAGTCACTTGTGTGTACATTCACACTGAGTGTTAAAATGATTTTCATTCTTAAGTATTGTATATTTGAGATGTTTTGGGGTTGCTGATTTCAGTTTTTTGTTTCTAGTGTGTTACTAATACTACGACTTAGTCTAATTTTGCTCATTCCTGCTGGCTTTTAAGAGTAGTTAATTACTCATTCCAAAACACATGACCATGAGTTAATTATAAACAACTGTTGACAAAACTTATCAGTGTACCAGCTTGTGTCAAGAGATAATTTGAGGGTATCTCATTGACTGCTATTGTTTACATAGCTACACATACAGGTCATTTTAAAAACAAAATGTTTGCTCACTCACCAATGTTTTTTAAAATTTATATCATTTGTTAAAGTATTACCTAAGTTGTGACCTATTTAAGGATTTGTTGTTTTAGAAAAATAACTTGCTTTAGTCTTATTTATCAATGTATGGTTTGCTTACTGAAAGGAAATAAAATATGTAATTTAATGTGAAAAGTGCCAAATTTCAACTACGGCAAATCTAATTTTTGCAAACTTCTCTCATCTTGTCCAATACTTGTTACTCAACTTTCGTAAAAATACTTCATGATGATTGGGATCATGATGGTGTAACACTTAATTTTGAATAGTACATGACATATAACAATATAAATGCACAACATGTATTGTAACAGTCTTTTATGTATTTTTGGAATTTGCTGCTTTCATAGCTTGCATTTTCGGCATCAACCAAAATTACTTATCCACTGAAATGTGTCTGAATTTAAAATAGCATTATTTTTCTTTAATTTACAAGTTTTTATTTTTTCTGCTAATAGTTGGAATGGCCCAGAGTTTGATACAAGTCAGATTAGAGCGTTGGTTTTTAAAGAAAATAGCGTAGAAGGAAGACGATTAATTTTTGATTCCAAGAGTGTTACAAAACTAAAGACAGAGGAGGTGAGTTATAATTTAAATAATTTTCAATTCACTATTTAATTTGTCTGTTATAAATGTCAATTGTTTCAACAAATTTTATATCAAAATCAGCTAAAACAAATGTACAGAAATGATTGAAAACTATATCATCGTTTATCAATTTAATTTGTTCACAAATAAAAGAAAAAATTGTTAGAAAAGTAGTAACAGTAAAACATGTGATGACTAAATGCTGTTGTCTAATCTAACTTTTTGGACACCACAATTTTCCCAGCCAATATTTTCGTACAAGATTTTGCATACTAGTATGTGTTTTCCTATAATGTTTGTGTTTTAACCAAAATTGGCAACTTTTTTCATTAGCAACAGGTCTTTATCAGATTTTTTGAAATTTTATCCAAAGTCAAGTTGATTTTGCTGTTCAAAGGCCTTAACAACAGACATATGATTGTATTTGAGCATACAGTTTTATATTATTGTTTGTATTCGACTATCGTGTCTATAGTCAAAATAATTCATATTTTTATAATAGCATACATAAACAATATATGCAGTTTTTTGTTTATGTATCATTAAAACAACTAGAGTATATCTCAACCATTTTATCTCATTTTAATTTGAAGATTTGCCAAAATTTTGTAAATGATGATGAAATTCATTTTAAATTAGGTCATGGTACAGTAATCTTTCAAATGTTATAAATCTTTTCAGTTGAATGGATGCAGACTAAAAAAGTGCAAACAAATGGGAGGGAAATCACGTTGTCCTATGGCCAACTTAGTAAAAGAAAACACACCGGTATCACCAACAAAAAATAACAGCAATATAACAAATTCACCAGAGAATCTCTCCAATAAAGTCACACCACAGTACCAGGTAAGGCAGCGGTTTGACTTTGAGATTATAACGACATATATATTGTTTGTTTTAATATTAGTACATACGCTTATGTAAATGACAGTTATGTATGTCGTCAAAAAATAATGCTTGAGCTCACAATAATGCAATTATTTTTTTTTAATATGTGTGTTTCTATTAAACATGTGATTCTAATAGAGTAAATATGGTATATAGAAAGTCAGCTATGGAAGATTGTCTAGATTATGTACCATTATGACTGTCTGTAATCAGCGCCAGAAAACGTCATTCAGTTTTGTCTTTATTTGTAGCAAACAAAGAGAAGCGGTGATGTTAAAATGTTAGAAGAAATGGTTTACGGGTCATTACCAATGTCAAGTAGAGGTACAACAGTAAAAGTACACATTATACGACAACCACTGCAGCTTATGCTAAGTAAAGTATTTCTAATGGGTGCGACAAAAGACAACCAAATGTAAGTTCTTAACCATTTCGTGACCTGTTTTGAATCCAGTTTTTCACGTTTTCTGTTATTTCTGTCAAAATCATTGTTAATAGATCTTAGATGCAAATGATTGCAGATATCTTGTTGAGAGTGAAAGAACAATGTGATTTGACCCCCCCCCCCTCCCTCTCAACAGTGTTCTATTATCTTCCATTGAACACATTCACACTGATCAACGTATCCATGATATTTGGACACCCCCCTAATAGTGTTCAACTATTGGATTGAAACAGTGGATAGGATGATGCGTGAGAATGAAACACTATTTGGGGGACATAAACAAGTCACGTGGGTCTCATGCTTTCAATGAGATCTCGGCGGCCATTTTTATCTAAAGTTTATTTGTGATTACAGAGAAACGCTAAAACTAGGTTTAAATATGTGATAACCAAATGGAAGTAACAACAATTCATACAAACTTCACTGGATCACATGACTGTTCTGTTCTAAGCGATGTATTGAATACTGTAAAACATGTCTTTTTCGCGAGCATGTCTTTATCACGAATTTAACGAGAGAACTGATTCGTTAATTTAAGATGTCGCTAATGACTTTATTATCAATTCAAATGGCCGCCAAACAAAGAAATCAACAATGACAAGAGAGATTCGCTAAATCAACATTTCGCTATTACGTCACTTTACCACAATTCGCTAAAATTGCATGCCGCTTTTTCAACATGTTTTACAGTATATAATTACACTGACTTATAGAATTGAAGGGGATTACATTTTTAACTTTTTTCTGCCAAAACTGTGTTGCAATTTTTTCAGCTTTCTTCTATAATTTCTTAGTTATTAATTTTGGACAAAATTTACATAATTTTATTTTACCTGCAAGTCTTGACTAAAAATTCAGGTAAAATGTTGACAAAGTTTGGTAGGTTTAATGCGTGATAGGAGAAAGAAGATGATTTTGGTATTTAGAGGGTTCATCTATGTGTGTGGTGTGTTTTGATTATAGGGATGCAGAGGAAGTTAGTTTATCATCCAGTAATGTCAGCGACTCCACAACACCACAGACTATTAATAACAGTACAAGCAAATTAGATGAACACATTGGTAAGTTCTTCAGCTAAGATTTTCCAGGCTGTATTTATCTGTAAATTTTACATTTATGTAGAATAATATGCTCAAAGGAACAACCAATAATTCAGTCATTTTTTCCAATTGCTGAATTGAATATTCTGTAAAACTATTCACTGGGTGTAATTTCAGCAGATTTGATGATCCAGGGATATTCACCTGGTTTGTACAGGAAACCATATATATTCTTTCGGTTTCAATAATCACAGGGTTTTATATTTAACACTTTTAACGGAATAACCGACAATAAAACACAGCTAATACTCATCCATCAGCATTAACTTTACATTTTTAAGTTTTCTTAAAAACCATCAGCTACAAATGTACCTTACCTAGACTACTTCTTAAAAATGGCTAGCCGAATTGCTTCAATATTTTATATGTAGACACCTTGGGTGGAACTCAACAGATTTGTTGATTTCATTATGATAACTTTGTTTAATTTTGGAGAATATTACTGTAACTTTTTGATTACTAGCCAAATTGCTTTGATATTGTATATGTAGGTTTCTTGGGCTGACCTCTTAGAGATTTGTTGAATTTGTAACGAAAAATCAAACAAACGAGTCTGTATCAGCAGACAAGCTACTTGCACTATACTGTTCTTAGTATGGTGTTATATGCATGTTGGTTCGAGACAGCATTTTTAGAATAATCTTATTTGTTTATTTACAGCACATAGTATGCCGATGGAAGTACCAACATCTCCTATTAAGCATCATAAAACGTATTACCATGACGACGACAGTGGAATAGCACGATCTTGTAAGGAAATTTCGCTGCTTATTAAACCTTTGTAAGACGAAATAATGTTACAACATTGGCTTATTTAGCTCCACTGTCAACAAAGTCAAGCAAAACTTTTAATATTACTGTCGTCGCCTATTTTATATTTTTTATTTCTTCTTTAAAAAACATCAACTATATTGGTTTCCTACTCACTACAAATGTACCTTGGGTGGTTCTCTCCCAGATTTGAACTTTCTGTGATGTTACCTCTAATTTTCAAGTGTAGTCAATATTTTTGTCTTTTTGGTAAAAAATATTATTATTGATTTATTATTGAAAAGGGCTAGCCAGATTTGTTTAATATTGTGACAATAACTTAAATTTTCATATTTTAGTGAATATTCCTGTCATTTTTATTAAAAAGGCTACCGGTACTAGTATTTTCAACTTCTTTTGAAAACCACCAACCCAATTTATTGGTATTTTAAATTATATGTTGGTACCGTGGATGGACCACTATCAGATTGATTTGATTCATTCCTTTATCTAATTAATTTATCTAGTGTTGATAACTTAAATTTTCTAATTTAGTGAATATTCTTATCCTGAAAATAGCTAGAATGATTGATTTGATATTTATTTCAAATTATGTATTTTAAAACCTATATCAGCCAACATGATTTATGTAATTACTCTAATATTAATTATTGTTATTTGTTATTTTTACTATACTGAAACCCCCTGATGGTTTTGGCTGTGTAATAAAGTTATTATTATTATTAATTTTGGACAAAATGAACAGAATATTCTTTATTTTTAGCTTCGCTGTCGACTTTGTCGAGCGGAGCTTATCATATGAGTGATTGTCCGTCGTCGTCGTCCGTGTCAATGTTTTACTTTTTCGACTTCTTCTTGAAAACTACAATGTATATGTACCTTGGGTAGACCTCTCTTAGGTTTGTTCATTTCATGTTGATATCTTCAATTCTCTAATTTTGGTGAATATTTTTGTCATTTTTGGTAAAAAGTGATATTTTCGACTTCTTGTTAAAAACCGCAAGTCTGATTGCTTTGATATTACATATATAGGTACTACATATGAACCTCTCTCAGATTTGTTCATTTTGTGATGATATTTTCAATTCTCTAATTTTGGTGAATATTTTTGTCATTTTTGGCAAAAAGTGATATTTTCGACTTCTTGTTGAAAACTGTAAGTCCGATTGCTTTGATATTACATATATAGGTACTACATGTGGACCTCTCTCAGATTTGTTTGTTTTGTGATGATATCTTCAATTCTCTAATTTTGGTGAATATTTTTGTCATTTTTGGTAAAAAGTGATATTTTCGACTTCTTGTTAAAAACCAATAGTTCAATTGCTTTGATATTACATATATAGATACTACATGTAGACCTTTCTCAGATTTGTTCATTTTGTGATGATATTTTCAGTTCTCTAATTTTGGTGAATATTTTTGTCATTTTTGGCAAAAAGTGATATTTTCGACTTCTTGTTGAAAACTGTAAGTCCGATTGCTTTGATATTACATATATAGGTACTACATGTGGACCTCTCTCAGATTTGTTTGTTTTGTGATGATATCTTCAATTCTCTATTTATTTTGGTGAATATTTTTGTAATTTTTGGTAAAAAGTGATATTTTCGACTTCTTGTTAAAAACTGTAAGTCCTATTGCTTTGATACTATTCATATTGTTCATTTTCTAATGATGTCTTCAGTTTTTTAATTGAAATGTGCATTGCTAACAGCGGAGCTATCTCAGCCGATAGGCTGTTTGTTTACCCTTTGGCTTGATTAAAATTTGTAAAAGAAATTAGAAAAAAGAGGCATGTGTATATGTAACTCATCTAAAATTTCTAATTTTATTTCTATCCAGCTTCTGCTAGTAGTTTCCTTACATATCCATCACCAAGTACTTCCAACTCGAGTACAAATAGTAACAGCCTGCATCGTAGATGGTTACGTCATCAGTCTACCAGCATGGATTTTGGTTATCGACGTAGGTCGATGGATTTGTCATCTCAAACATCAAGTCTTAACAGTGATGTAGTGAGTAATATAGTCTGTGTTTAGATTGTATTGAGTGAGTGTTTTTGTATATACATCAAACTTGTTGATAACATGCAGTTAGTATTTTACAATTCAATATTTTCCAAATCAGTAAGCTAAGGGGCTATGTGGCATGTCAGTATGCTGAGGAGTCTATGTGACAAATCAGTATGTTTGGATTGATGTTAAAAATCAGTATGTTGGGGGGTCCATGTAGCAGATCAACATGTCTTATACTGATTGTTTTGTTTTCATTTCAGTCGTCAATTAGTGGTGGTCAACGAAAGCACAAGATAGGATTGAGTGTGATCATATCACTTTGTAATACGAAGGACGAGAACAAGTATAAACAGTTTCAGACGTTCTTTTTCTCACATTTTCCATTGTTTGAAAGTCATTTTTATAAGCTAGGAATTGAAATTGAGAAAGCGGTGCAACAGAAGTCTTTGCAGATATCTCTGATCATGACAGTAAGTTCCTCTCTTTTGCGTATCCGTACTGTATTTTTTTTCTGGTCAGACTGTTTTTCAAAAATGAGACTAGAAAATAATAGTGCATTTTGTGGTGTGTTGTTTCAGGCTTTAGAAGAGTTTTGCAATGGAATTAGTATGTTGTATACTGCACCAAGAATACCAGACCCTGTTTGGTTGAGTATGATGACATGTGAAAACCAACATGGTCAACTGTGTGATAAATTTATGAAACAATTGGTTGTAGTATTGGATGAATATGATACTAAGAACACAAATTTGTAAGTATATTTTATTCTTGTGGTTTTATGATTAATGCACGTATAAACAAAATTAAATGACACATACTTGAATTGTGCTCAGTGTTTGATGTTGATGGTATTAGTGGTATTGCTAATCTGTAAACCAAATGTATAATCTTCACATTTTTTTTATTTTGCAGTTTTATTAGTCGTTTATTGACAGCAGTGTTGACCCACCATCTTGGTTGGGTTCCTACTGTGATACCAAGTGGTGCTAGTCCAAGTCAAACCTATTTAGCAAAACACTTTTCAAACAATGTAAGTACAGTTTTGCATTTTCAGCCCTGTGTTCTCTCTTGAATAGCCTCACATTTATAACCAATGATTCTTTTTTGACAATCTGATTAAAATAACATCCTGGTTGGCTTATTTTTGTAAATTTTATTAGCTTCGCTGTCGACTTTGTCGAGCGGAGCTTATCATATGAGTGATTGTCTGTCTCCGTCGTCGTCCGTGTCAATGTTTTACTTTTTCGACTTCACCAAGTGACTTTCACAAACAAAACAATTCTTGCAGCAAAATAATTGTAACATCAAAAAATAATTAAAATAAATAATAACTATTGTAATAATTAAAAAAAAATATTTAAAAAAATGTAAGCCAACCAGAATCTTATTTTCAGATTGTGTCTTGAAAAGCCTCACACTTCTAGCCAAGTATTCTGTCTTAAATAGCTTTACATTTTCAGCCCAGTATTCTTTGAATAGTACTAGTTTCGTAGTCCAGTCCAGCAGTTTTAAATAGCATTTTTTGTTAAATTGCCTCCCTGTGGATGTGCACCATTTGCTCTCGGTAATTAGTTGCAATTTACCCATAGCTCACATCATTTGATGAAATTAAAAATAATTTTTTTCTCTTTTGTAGTTTGATTTACTTGGCAAGACTCATCCGTACAATCCATTGTGGGCACAGCTAGGGTAAGTATATGTATTCTTTGAAGATATATGGATATGTGTTCAGCTAGGCTGGCTTGTTCCCCTAGGTCTGCTCAGACTTTAATATGCTGACCTTGCGACCTTGTAAATAATTTGACTGTGTGCTGTTTCTGAGGTGTCTGACTAGTGACCACTTGCACTATCCCCTCATGATCTGTCTTTGTAACTAGATATATCTAGGTTTCAAACATATATTTATTTAGTAGAAAGTGTGTGTTTAGCTTCCACTATATTGCTAAAAAGGATTTTGATTATAAATTATCAAATATGGGAAAATGGTGGTTTATTGAAATCTCCAGCATAGTCTAATTTGTGGGTCTGTCCACCTATTCCAGAAAGGCTAGTTTTACCTGAAATTGCTCATAGATGATGAATTTTCCCTGCAAAATTTTGGGTGCAATATTTTACATATTTTTCTATAATTTCTTTGTCAATTTTAGACCAAATGAACATAATTTCATACTGGCTACAGGTTTATTTTGTGAGCAGTGATGAGAGGTGTCTTAAGCCCTCAAATGGTGGTTAACTTAAATCTTGTGGGGAATTAACAATTTTTTTTTTCTCACAGGGATTTATACGGTGCTCTTGGAAATCCAATGAAAATGGTTAAAACAATCCTTGTTGGCAAACATTCTGAAGTGATTTGTACTTTATTGTACATTCTGAGTTATTTCATTCGATGTAGTGAAATTCATGAAAACATTGAGAAACGAAAACCAATTTTTGAAAACGACATGCTGGGGAGGGATACACCATTATTGGAAGAAAATCTTGATTTTGGCGACTCTGAGTTTGTACTTGTAACCCAAAGAAAGCCAGGTGAAGCAAACCCGTTTATGGATAGTGTGGAGTCTGTTGTAACGCAACATGAGTTTAAAGACAGTCAGGAAAGAAGCGTTGAGCAGACGGAGCCTGCACATCAAGGACTTAACAGTGATGAGCAGGACAACCAAGATCAAGTGATACAAACATGTTGCTATGACAACAATGTGAATGCTGTTTTGGAGAAAAAGGTTGAGAGCATAGGAAAAGATGCCCTTGAAGAGTATGAACAATTGAGAAAAGAATGTGATTATTCTGCAAATTCTGAACAAATCTGTGATAAGCGAACTACTATGCCTTGCAAACTGAAGGAATCCTGCTCGGTCGTTAATAGAAATCAGGGTGATGCTTGCAGTGGTGGTGTAGAAAAAAATAATTTACAAACTTATTCACCACGTAATGGGTACAAGATTCAAGAGTCTCCTGTTGAACATTTGCAATTGAAAGTGGAACAATTAATCGCTGTGGGAAAATCAGCGGTAACTGCTTCTGAGCATAGAATTACACAAGTTGTCAAAAATAAGGCAAAATGTGAGTGCAGTTCTAAAGATGAAAGGACACAAATTGTTAATCAGAGAGACTGTACAGACACATACTGTGCAAAATGCAATAATTCAGTGGATGATAAAGCTTCAAATAGCAGTAAAACAGACTCTGAAGTTAGCATTCCAGTTGCACAGCGAGCTTTTCTGCGACTCGCTTCTCAAGAAGGCAGCTCAAGTATGTTCGATGAATATTTTGATGAAAATTTGGAATGTGACGAACCTTATCCAAGTAATTTACAGAAATGCATTTCTTTAAAAACAACATCTCAGGAAGAAATGAATGAAATCTTGGAGGATATCTCATTTGACGGGAATAATGCAAATGAAGGTGTTAATAAGGAGCCGCTTAATTTGCGTGGAGAGGAAAATCGGGCAACTATAATATCTGATGGATTATCACAGTGCCAAAATCCTCCTACAGAGTCAGACAATTTGAAAAGCTGCAAAGAAACCAGCACAGACAGTCTTGATACAGGTCCAACTGAAAAGAAAACACAGGAGGACACCGTGCAATATAAAGTAACACCCATGAATCATAATATGAAAGCTAATGTTAGGCCCCGGACTCTGGATTATCACCAACCAGAATATAATGCACCCCGTAATCTGCTTAGAATGATATCTACTACATCTACCTGTACAACAGCCAGTGAGTTTGATCCATTCGGAAACCCAGAAGAGTTACCTTTGCCAGGGTAAGAGTTTGTCAAGAATACGATAACTTGTTTTAAGAAATATCTATCATTTAAGATGTTCAGTAAAAAAAAGTTGAAATACCGTAAACCGCTGTCATTTTGCAAGAGACATTTTTTTGTGAATTACACAAGTCAATGAAAAATTGTGAATTTTGTAGTAATGAAAATGTCAGTGACTTTCGTAAAATGTTGTCTTCATTAATGCTATAAAATCCTGAAATCGTAAAGATTTCTGGTAGTGAAAATTATATGGTTTGCAGTAAGGTGTGGAATTTGAGAACCTGGCTGATTTCTAACTATAATAATATTTAGGACCCTGTCAAACATAAACAAAGAGCCTAGACATATACAAAGTTTGAGGAAAGTTTTGTGTCATGTGACTTTATTGATTTGTCAAAGTTATGTTGTGAAGAATGGGAAAAAAACAATAATATCTCTCTAGTGATAAGTTTTAAGTGAAAAATAATGTGGTCTAGAGTAGAATGCATAACAGTGTGCAACAATAGTTGACTTATCTATTCCTGGAATCTTGTATCGAGATAAAAGTGCCTTATAGTCCAAAAAAAAAAAAGTTTGAGGAAAGTCAAAACAAGACTGGGTAGATTAGGTTTGGAGAATGATTGAGAAAGAAATTATGATGAAAAGAGATTTTTTGTGGTGGATGATTGTAAGAAAAACATCTTGTGGAGCATGCATGTATGAAGATGACTTATTAGAAATAAAAAAAAGAAAGATGACTTATTAGAAATTCATTAACCCTAATTGTACCAGCCCCATAGAGATGATTTAAAAGATTAGGATTAATGTTGCAGTGATGAGGATTGCATAGAGCAAAGCGATCTTCTTAGCAAGTGAAGTTTAGTGTTTCGCTAAAATTAAGAAGTATCTTCTACAGAGCTTCCCTTATTTTGGCCCGGTGTACCATGTGATTAAAATTTATTGCATTTTGCAAGAAAAATATATTGTTAATGAAAATGTGTGTGTTTTGTTTGTAGGACTGATCGGTTGGCATCAACAGTGCAAAGTCAGTCGCGATATGAGAAGAACTTTGGTCGTTCTTTGTTGGGTGGTTACTCCTCAAAATACTTGCCAGATTTTGCTTTGCATGGAACTCCAGAGATTGATAAGAAGCGAGTAATAGACGATCTTAAGATTTCAGTTCAGGTACGGGAAAGATATTGAGATATTTCCATAAATTAAAGCGCCCCAGTCATCACACTATGCAAATTCAGATATTGTTGACTTTGCATGGGACCCAGATCAAATAACGATGTTGTGAGATGACCGCACTGATTTAACAAACAGTGATTAGAGAATATTTCCTCTCTTTTGTTCATGTTAAATTGAATCTAAACATGTATTCAAAATGACTCAAATTATCACCACAAGGACATGTCTACCCTCTGTGAATCTTCTACTTAGCAATGATAAAATAAGTTTATTTTCAAAACACTTACATCACGTTTATGGCCATTGATGTGAATTCTACTTTGTTATGTGTTTTTTTCTTTGTAGAATTCAGTGCTGGATGAACCCATTTATGAAGCCCTATGCATTGTGGCTGACACCGAAAACTGGAGTGTTGAATTGCTCTCCAGTAAGAATACACAACCAAACCCTGAGAAACCCAGGAATAATTCTGTCATGATGTCTAGCCTTGTGCATCGCTTACTGAAGTCTGTTTGTAAACTCTCAGAGCTGAAAATGTCAGCAGAATTTGTAAGTATTGTTTTTGAGTGTCACCTGTAATAGTCAAATCATCATCATGTTGTAGTGGTGTCACAGGAAACAGGATGCAACGTTTGTCTTGTTTCATTCCTAGTTCCTGGTTTTGTTTTGTGTGTTTTTATCCCTGGCACTTTGCCTGCAGGGATTATAGTGGCTACCATTGTCCATCAAATCTGTTCATGCTCAGTCATATTAGGAGCACTATTGCAGATAGAGACATTCAACCAGGACTTGTAATAAAGATGTCGGGGAATCTGCCATCTCTGATAGCTTACTAACAAACAAAAATTAAAATTAGCAGCAACCTATTCTTGTTTCTCACAAATAACTGCCTTTATCTGATTTATTCTCTAGTGCATCACTCACCTTGAGGATAAGCTGCAAGAAATTTACTTCAAAAGTATCGCCTTAGCAGAATATTTACGTCTTAATCCTCATTATCAACCGAAAGAACTGTCAGCGGTTCTTGGTGTGAATGCAGAAGATATTCCACTGTTACTTGGTGTCACATGTGTCCATTCATCGTTTGCTAGTTTTGGGTTCATCAATGGCACACATTAAAAGTCAAGTGAGATCATGGTGTTATCTCAAAAGTACAGAAGAAAGTTTATGTGTTTATCAACACTAGAGGGCACTCTGTCATAGAATGGAATTGTGAACTATTTTATGTGGACTTCCACTAAAAACATTTATCAGTCAAGCAAGTCTCCAGCTCAACCATCAATGGAAAATTTTATTTCTGCCCCTATAATGTAAACTTTACAATGGTTGGACAAAATATGTTTGCAGAATTTTGAAGTGATTGATTTTTTTCACTCAATTATCAGTGAGCAGTAAGTTGGACACGTTTCATACTTCCTGGAGTCAACCATCATGTTGCACTTTGTGCACAGACTGGACTCCTTTTTGACACATACTTGAAAGATTAATTACCCTGGTACTGGTAGGGGTTATCCTGGTTACCAGTGTACGTTCATACAGAGTCATATCAAGAGCACTATAATAATTGTAGATAGAAACATTCACGCAGTGTTATATTGAAGACATTTCACACCAGATCTTAACATATTTAATGGCCATATATGGTCATGCGACCTTATTAAAAATGCAAAAATTGCTTATGTCAAAAAATGCCAAGGGATCTGCCATCTCTATGGTTTTCTTGTGTTATTATTTAAACAGTTATAAAATTAAGAAAAGTGAATTTAAATAAAACATAGTTCACTCAGGAAGCTCGTTAGTCCCTGTTAGGACACGTTTGATTTCTGTACATGTGTCCAATCACATTCAAACTTAACATACATATGCACATCCATTTGTTTCACAATCCGATTCCGGGTGATCGTTTTTATATTGAGAATTCATCAAAATCAAATCTTGATTGTGTGTGGACAGATTTTGTTCAAACTTGGTACAAATGCAAGTCATTTTGTTCCTGAGATCGGATTCAAAATGGTTTGCTGGTAGCCATCTTGTTTTAGCAAATTTGGTCCCATCGTTAAATCTCAGACAAAACATTTTCAAACTTTAGATATACATCATGTCACACATGTGCATATTTATTAATTTGGTATTATAATTCAAGATAGCCAAATTGGGGTTGTTTTTATATAATGGTAAAAATTCATAGAAATCAAGCATCTCTGCCATGCATGGACTGATTTTGGTCTAACTTGGTACAATGTACATTGAACTTTATGGCACCTTAATGTATGTCACTGTCATTTTGAACTCAAAGTGGCCGACTGGTGGCCATTTTTTTGTTGAATGCAGTTTTTGAGCCATATCTCTGACTTCAGTGTGTTGATTTACACCGTTTGATATTGGTCCCCTGTCGTCACTGCATAATGGTAAACACACAAAAGATGCATAATGCAACAGCCTCTGCCCTCAAATATTATTCTATGTCTGTTGTCACATCAATCAAGACGTTTCAGAGCATATGACTAGTAATTTTACTCTTTTAACAAACCTACTAGCGTTGATTTTGCATTAGAGGCCCATTGAAGTATTCTACAATTTGGAGTTTAAAGTATTGGTGGGGAAAGCAATCTAATCATTTTTCTGCTCCCTGAAATGATGTATTTAACACGCCATTGTTTGATTTTAGTATTTGGGTTCTGTAGGTTCTGTGCCAATTACTAATGTTTTTACATTTACTTTAGCGGGTAATTTGCATAATTAGGTTTACAATTATTCAGCAAGCAAAATGGAGTAGCTTGTATTCAACCTCAGTTGTAATTGTCATGTGATGATTATTTAACCAGAAATTTACAAAAAGAAAAGCTTCTTTTCTATTTATTTACAAGAAGAGTATTTGTCATTATGACTTTGTATGAAAAGCCGACCAGGAACTGCCAAAAAATTGGCCACAAGTGTGCATGTATAATTATATGTAGAGTATGTGTATTAGATCTCATCTACGCAATAAGACATAAACTTACGATTTTTTTGTTAAATGATTTCTCTCACAATATTTCTGCATCAGATTAGTATGGACAGGATTTTATCAACATTCACGAGTATGAATGCAAATGCTGAGAAACTATTTTATGCTTTCATTTAATGTGTTAAAGAATCAACAAGCCTCAAGAAAAATTTAATTTTACTTTGTGCGCATATTCTGTATCAGTAGAATTGCACAATCTGTTAATAGCAAAATAAATGTACTGTAGGTATATATCAATATATATAAGGAGGGTTTTAACCTAATAACTGGAACAGAAGTAAATATTTTAAGACTAATGGCATTATATGTAATTCAGTATAGACTTAGAAGTGCATGAGATTATAAAGTCAAACCCTTTAACATATATTTACCTCTAACATGTATGAATTAATTTATCTCTGTACATTAATTTCCTTGCTCATGTACTTGGGCTATGTAAATATTGTAAATAACATTTAATAAAAAACGCCAACTATTCATATTATTTGCATGTGTGTTATTTCACCAGACATCTACTATTTCAACATAACCATGAAAAAAGCCTACAGGTACTCATAATTTGTCATGTATCACATAACTGTGAATTGGGAGCCAGGTAATCTGGATGTCAAGAGGACAGTATACATTTTAAAAATCTCCACTTTATTGATCCACAGTACAAATGGTTTGAAAACAGTGAACTAAGTATGTGACCAACCAACTCACCCACAAGTAACTGGTTAATTATTTTTTTTATTCAAAATTAAGAATATTTTGCACTCAATTTAACTTCGGGGGCAAGGGCAAGAATGATTTAACCATGCACATCATAAGCACTTACATTTCTATTTTGTAAATTAAACAATGAATTCGGAAAATGAGCAAATATAATCATAAAAAGGAATAGGTATGAAATTTCTTTCATTGTATTCAAAGTTTGAAAAGTTTACTTTCTCGGATCTGAAAAAACAAAACAAGTGATTCTGGTACAATACTTAATTGCAAATACTTTTCAAGGTGTTCGAGACAAAAAAGCATGAGAGAATGCAACATATACACAGTCATAACAGAGGCTGCACCTGCAATGTTTCAAGAAGAAATTAGAAGTCCATCTTTGTCAGTTGAGGAAGAACTGTCAATCCTTTCCAGATGTTGCACCATGGCCATGTGACAAACAAACTATATTTAAAACAATGTAGTTTTACAAGATAATTTTGTATAAACAATCTACATGAAACCATGATGGTTTACAATCGTGGTGGTTCACTAACTTCCATATGAATGCAACTATAACAGTTTATAATCTGCACAAGGTATACAACTGTGGCAATCTAAACTAATTTCACAATAAACCCACCACGATAAAAACTGGGAATTGACAGCAATGAATGATGGAAGTGAATAGTGGACCACATAACCAGGAGTAGTATAAATGCATTTCTTGAGTAAAAATATTAGTGGGTACAATGCAGAAATAAAGAAAACTTAAAAACATGAAAAATCAGTTGTATAGTACGCTTCCATGCCATCAAATTTCATGTACATATCCAGGTTAAAATCAAATATCCTGTAAAAACATCACGGCAGTGCTCAGAGAACTTTGTATCTTCCTTTGTTGGTTGGTTGATATGAATGTTGCTGAAAGAATAAAAAAAATAATTAGTGAAATGAGCAATGCATGCATAAAAATAAATTAATTTATCACAGTAGCGGTTAAAACATATCCAGACTTCACTCAAGATCTGTACCAGAATATAAAGAGTCTTGATTCACTTTTAAACATGTGTCATTCAAGCAGCATTCTGATGAATGAACAGCTCATTTCAAATCTTTGATGAGCAATATGTTGAATAATCTGACAGTAAATTTGCTTTCCATAATTTAATGTGCACCTTAGGTGAATATAGTGGAAGAAAGAGCCAGTCAAATACACTGCAGCATTTATCAAGTGTGCAGATCAGCCGGTGGCCATTGTTGGACATTGTGAAAGGTGAACTGTATTGGGAAGATCAGATTTACAGATACAACAGCAATGATAAAACCAGATACACAGGTTCATGGAGACCAAGTTTCAGCTACACCAACATGTTGAGTGTCCTAACATGCAATAATTACAATAGATTTGTATATAATTTCCATTATTATAATTACCAATCTTATTAATTCTTCTTTGATTAACCTTGTAATTTCCTTTTTTGATTTTTGTACTGCCATTTCAGATGTACCTGAAATTAACGGAAGAAATTCATTCAGTAAACAATAAGCAGCAATAGACAATTTTCTGTTTGCAACAAGATCCTGCATTTCTTGTGAAATCAAACATAAAAACAGACAGACAGACAAAGGTCATTGCGATGTAGTAGCGACAAAGTAGTTTTTGGATATTTCTACACTCAATGTGGAATATCACTGCAAAAAAATTTTTTTCTAGTGTTCCTCGATTGTAATTTTTACTTGTTTTTCTGTGATTTGAGAGAAGCATGAAAGGCTAACCTCAAATTTTACAAAGTGGATTTTTTTTTTATATTTTATTTTATTTCTACGTATATAAATACATCAAATCATTCCATAAAAAAAGTTAAATTTCTACACAAAAACTATGGCAACGAGATACTGTAATTATAAGAATACGAATATAAAGTAAAAAGAAAAGAAAAGGGGTGAAGTGGAGTTTGTTTAATAAATTACAAGAGAAAAGAAACCATGCGATGTAATTAGTACAGTTGGTAACACTAACTATGCCACTTACTTTCAATTGCCAGGTACAATTTTCTATCACCTTCTTTAGGTTCTTTACCGGGAGGGAAGTAGGTACCTCGGATTGTGATGCCAGCTTCACTGTACTCTTGGATCTGTGCAAGATTTTCCTGTATAGTAAAATAAATTAAACAGATTATGAATTTGATGGTTATTCATACGATATGCATATTGTCACATTAAGACTAGTTTCTCACCTTTGATGTGACTTTCCATCGTGCTGTCTGTGGAAAATCATTGATTTCCAACTCCTCTTCGTATCTACGGAATGTTTCAGTCGGTGGTTCATTTGAATTACTGTCTTCATTTTCTGGTGATGGTCGGTAATTTAATTTAGCGTTGATCTTCTCAGCCATCTGATCGGCTATTGTTTTAGCCTACAAAATAAATGATCAACATAGGATGATTTTAAATGTTACTATTCTCAAACAGTATAACTTCATCCTTGGTTAAAAAAAAAATCAATTTACGATGTATCAATGTATAAATCAGCTTGATTCATTGTTGTTACTTGAGGGGTGGCTGCTCACGAACATGAAATGTTTGAGTGTCAAACTAGTTCTTGGTCAAAAACAGTATGATGCACTAATTCTATCAAATCAAAATACATAAGCACATGTCATAGTCACTCCTGATGTTTTAACTGACAGAATGATTTTTTTTTTATTTACTACCATAAAATCTCTAAATTAGAATCTAATTTTAGGTTTTTTGTAGTCACTGACACCTATTCAAGAGTAAAATGTTTATCATGGCGATGTTGAATGGGTAAACTTCATTTCAGCAATGAGCTATCATCACGGTAAAAAGTGTAAAATTTCTCCTCAATGCTCAATCTCCTCAATTTTTTGAAAACTACTAATTTATTGATTTAAAAAAAAATTGTTGCCGTTTTCCCACCAAAATCAAGGCCAAAACATCATACTACGATCTGATTGGTCAATAAGTGACTTGACCTATCAGGTCAAAGAACATAGTTTCAGGTCAACTTGTGTATGGAAAAAAAATATCTTATCGCATAACATTTGTATGCGATCGAAACTAAGTTCAATTTTACTTGCATTTTGACCAAAAACTTAAATTTTGCCAATGCACAATCTGCATAGTAGTTATAACTACAATACTCACAGACACAGCAGGAGCTGCAAGCATTCCACCTTTCATAACAGTCTGTGCTGCTTGTTGCATGATGTCTTTAGAACCTTCAAGGTTTCGATTGATTCGCTCTGCCATCATCTTAGCTAATTCCAGTTTCTCTGTGTTCACACCTACAGTAGGAGCAACTCCAGCGATAGGTGCGCCAGGAACAAGAGCTGGATTACCACCAACAGGAACGGTTACGTCTTTAACACTCTTCTTTGATGCAAACATGTTTTCTATTTGTTGATCAATCTGAGAAAATAAACAATGAATAGCACTCGTTATGTTCCACCTAAATAGAAGTGATGTAATTATAGAACATGTGACAGTACATGAGCAGATTTTAAGTGGTTTATTGAATCACAATGATGTTTATTGCCTACACGGAAATTATTTTAAAGCCAATAAAGTTATTTTCAATAATTTAGTTTCTGTTTTCTCATTTGTTTGTCTCATGAATAATTAATCAAATTACATAAAACTTGTAGTTGTCATTTGAATTAAACACTATTGATGGAATATATAATTCATTTAAGAAAGGCTGTATTTGATCTCAGTTAAATTGAATGATGTGATTTGGGCACGCCAAGGTGCTTGATCTATCAGTCAGCATTCCTGACTCTTGTGTGCTGAGAGTATTGGAGGCATAAAATTAATTAAAGATTAGCCTTTCAAAAAAAAGAACCTTGATGACTAATATTGGTCACTATTTGAGATAGACACATAAAAACAATGTGTTCACAGTATGTAAGTTTGTGATAAATTTGATTGTACATCTGTTGTTTTCAGTCTTATTTATTCCAGAGCATCTCTACCACAAGTTCAATTTAAATCTGATTTTTTTAGATATCAGAAAATTAGGTAATTAGTAAGATCAAACATCAATCAAAAACAGTTCCAGTCCCCAGGCACTTGTATACCATGTCTTATTAAAATGCAATAATCATTCTTGGAGAGATAGGTGGAAAATTGGTTTATGCAAAATACGTAATAAATATGCATGGATTTCAACCCAAAACTAATCAAATCTTTGCATATTTTACCAAGTTGCATTGGAATGTGATGATAAATTCTTAATAAAAATAAAACGATTAGTCCTCGAGTTATTATTCAAATTAGGAAATTGATATGCATGGATTTACCCAAATCTAATCAGGTCTATGAACTGTCACAGAGCATTTGTGTAGCATGATTCATTGAAATGTGATTAGTACTACTAGTAGTGATTAGTTGGATATTAGTTGGATATCGGCAGAAAAGCCGAAAATTTCTGAATTATTATGCAACGATGTATCAAGTTTCCTTGAAACCTCACAACTGTGTTTTTTTTGCGAGATCTGTGGAACATACATACATACACACAAAGACTCTTATTGAGTGTCGAGTTAAACATAAGACAGCCAGACTACTTACATCTACACCAGCATCTTCTTCATCCGAGTCTTGTAATCCCAAAGCAGCTTTCTGGAGTTTCTTTTTCTCATTCGCCAATTCTTTTTCAGTTTCATCAAACTTGAATCCTTTCCCACTGAAACCACTGCTCTTCATAATAGACTTTCCTTCCTATCATAAATATATAACAATATAAACATTAAAACCGAACCGAACAATGCATAAATCAGACACCCTGACTGAACTGAAATCCAATCAGGGACTAATACGTTTTGGTAGTTTCTAATTTAATCCTTTTAGACAGAAAGATTTCATTTCCATAAAATGAATAGAATGTTATGGGATATTGATGCTAAGCCACACAAAATTGCAACATTACTTACAGCTTTCTGTTTCTCAGTAAATTCACTCCAAAGTTGAAGCAATTCCGGTGGTGCCTTCTTATCAGCCATCTCAAATGCTTTTATAATATCACCAGCATATCTGCCTTGTTCTGGTGTAATAAACGTAAAGGCATTGCCTTTATTCCCAGCCCTTCCTGTACGTCTGCAAAAATACAATAATTCAGTCTTAATATTTTATGACAAAATCCTTCGGGATATTTTGAAAAAGCAGCTGTCATACACACAGAGAAATACTTTGTAGTATTTGTGCAAAAAATATCTCGTATATTCACCTTGACCTTCTACCCCTCTCAATAAATGTACTCACCCTACTCTATGTACATAATCTTTATAGTGATATGGACAATCATAATTAACAACCAATACCAAATGTTTCACATCCAATCATCTGACCTTTCACCCCTCTCAATAAATGTACTCACCCTACTCTATGTACATAATCTTCATAGTGATTTGGACAATCATAATTAACAACCAATACCAAATGTTTCACATCCAATCATCTGACCTTTCACCCCTCTCAATAAATGTACTCACCCTACTCTATGTACATAATCTTCATAGTGATTTGGACAATCATAATTAACAACCAATACCAAATGTTTCACATCCAACCCTCTGGCAGCAACAGACGTAGCTATAAGCAATTTAATATTGCCAGCTTTGAAATCTTGAATGGCTGAGTCCCTGTCATATTGATCAATACCACCATGAAGTGAAAGACACGAGTAAGATGCTTTCATCAGATCTTTCAACAGCTGATCAGCTCCTTCTTGCTTCTCTACAAAAACTAAAACACTTCCTTGTTCCTGGTAAACCCCTAGAAGTTCTAGTAAAGTAAGAAACTTCTGATCATCATCAACAATAGCCTGCAAAAAAACAGAATCAAGGAATTCTTAGAAAAAAATAGACTAAATACAGACTATAATCGTAATCTACAAATAATAGTGAATTGGTTTGGAGGGTTGTGAGCAGACCTTAGGTATGGGTCAGTCTGCACATGCGAGTTACTTTGCTAATTTATTGATGTCATGGATATAGCCAATCAGTGATGACACAGAATTCTGTGTAGTCTTGAGTGTACTGGGAAGGGCTGTTTATCAGGCTATGAAAAAAAAATATTGATCAGCTATTTGAGATAGACACATGAAAACAATGTGATCACAGTATTAAAGATCATAATAAATGCGATTGTACATATGTGGTTTTCAGTCTAATTTATTCCAAAGCACCTCTACCACAAATTCAATTTAAATTTGATTTTTTGAGATCTCAGAAATTGGCTAATAAATATGCAAATTAGGTAATTCGTTTGCTGGAATTTCAATCCAAACTCCATAAAAGTATGCCTTCTGTGGCAATTCAATTAAAGTATGCCCTCTGTGGCAATTCAATAAAAGTAAGCCCTCTGTGGCAAGTCAATAAAATAAGCTCTCTATGGCAAGAGCAACTGCAGTTTTTCATTTCAACAAACACCAAAAACAATATATTTTGGGTTGAGTTGAGTCTGAGAGATATCAAGCCAAGAAAATAACATAATAATCCCCCAATGTGATGTTCGACAATTGGTCACCACAACGAGATTGCCCAAATGTTATTTCAATGGAGAGAACATACAGCCAATGACTTGTCACAACATTTGAAATAGAGTACATAATATCGTAACTGAAACTGATGGTCAGACTTACAACTTTCTGTTCCACATCTGAACAAACAACACTTCGACCACCGACTTGTACTTCAAGGGGCTTGTTCAGAATACGTCTTGCTAATGCCTCCATCTGACGAGGAAACGTTGCCGAAAACATAACAGTCTGACGATCCGGCCGAATATTATCCACAATTCTCATCACCTGAAGAAGAAAACAAATTAAAAAATTTGTATGTTATTTTTATTTTTTATTTTATGCACAACAGTGGCACATTTTGAGCAGTGCTGAGAATTTTTGAAATCATGCCAACAAAACTTAAATTTATCTATCAATAGCAATGCAAGATAAAACTAATTCACGCGAGTTGCGTGAAAGACGCGAGCCGAATGTCTGCCGCAAAGATTTGTTTTGTTTGAACTTGAATTTCGTAGCTCACATCAAAAGACCGATCTTTGACAGGAGAATATTGCGTTTGAATACCCTTTCTTCATCAAAATTGACCATCATCAAATGTGTACAGCACATTATTAAGCATGGAAATATCCCCCAAAATACTTTTGTGTTTGTCGAATCCCACGTGATGTTTGTCGGCACTCAATGCTAAAACATTTGTTTGTCCTGTAACTGCAGTTACAATTGCTGATGATTTTTAAATCGGCAGAAATATTACCTCTCTTAGTAACATTTTTATGCAAAATAAATTTTTAGTGGTCATTATTATGACTTATAGTAAATGTTGTTATCCAATCTGGAATTCTCATATCGCAGCAATAAAAAAGTACAGTCTAAGTAATGCTGCATGGTTTGGTTTTCTTTACGAACTGTTCAATCACACACAGACTGAGGAAATATCGTCACATTTGAAGTGTGTCACGAGAGTGATTCATGGTCATGTGACAATGCATGTAATCTTTTGAATCATGATGAACAGTGTGTAATCTACTGAATACAAATGTATAAAACTTTATATCACAACAAACAATCATAATTCTTTTTACCTGTGGTTCAAATCCCATATCAAACATTCGGTCCGCTTCGTCCAAAACTACGTACGTACAGCGGCGCAGATTAGTAACACGACCTTCATAAAAACAGAAACAAAATATGATGAAGGTCATGATGATAAGACAAAGCAGTACCCTACATTTTTATTCAAAGATATTTGTGCAAAAAGACATCTCCACACATATTGATTAAGTATTAAAAAAAATAAGTTCAAGTCCAAGTTTTGCCTGCATCAAAAAAATCAATCGTTAATTTCCATGGTGATATTTTGGTTTGATAAATTCCTTACATTGAAATGGTCAAGTATTTTTCATGCATTCGTTCTTGGTGACACATAACAAGAAACAATTGTGTTGTCCAGTATGTTTTAAAATTACAGCAAGTTGTGAAAGGGGCAGTAAGTTGGCAAACTGGCTTGCGAATTGACTTTGGAAACTTGAATAAACAATTACTGTAGAAAGGACGTTGCTGGTTGATTGGCAGGGATCATGTTTGGGAATTTCAAAGCTATACACATGATAAACTTTTCATTATTGACTGAGGGTGTACATATTTTATGCCTGGAATGGAAGGCTAGTTTACATTTACACAACTGGCATGAAACACCCTCATTTTTACCAGCATCCATAAAGTATCCAATAATGACTTGTTCATGACCACGTCTGATTGGCTACAAGTCAAGCAGTCACCAGTTACAAGAATATATGAAAATATGACATACTAAAATACCAAGTTTGTTTACATTTTGATGTAAGAATATTTAAATACTATTTAAAAAACATTTTTTCAGTATGAAAGCGCAATAGCAAGTAGATGGCTGTATTTGTTTTCACTTCAAAATAGAGATACACATGTGTTCTAGAATCACAAGTACTCTTGTATTCAGAATGTTAGAACACTGTATCAGGCCGACAACCACATTAAAACTTGATGAGAAAGAAGAGATTGTAAGAATGAAATATTAAATTTAAATTCAGCAATGTCAGTCCTCTGTCTTGACAGGGCATGGACTACCAGATGGTGACAGATGTCCGTCCTCTGTCTGGACAGGGCATGGAATACCAGTTGGTGACAGGTATCAGTCCTCTGTCTTGACAGGGCATGGACTACCAGATGGTGACAGGTGTCAGTCCTCTGTCTGGACAGGGCATGGACTACCAGATGGTGACAGGTGTCAGTCCTCTGTCTGGACAGGGCATGGACTACCAGATGGTGACAGATGTCAGTCCTCTGTCTGGACACTGCATGGACTACCAGTTGGTGACAGATGTCAGTCTTCTGTCTGGACACGGCATGGAATACCAGTTGGTGACAGATGGCAGTCCTCTGTCTGGACACGGCATGGACTACCAGATGGTGACAGATGTCAGTCCTCTGTATGGACAGGGCATGGACTACCAGTTGGTGACAGATGTCAGTCCTCTGTCTGGACAGGGCATGGACTTCCAGTTGGTGACAGCAGTCAGTCCTCTGTCTGGACAGGGCATGGACTCCCAGTTGGTGACAGATGTCAGTCATCTGTCTGGACAGGGCATGGACTACTAGTTGGTGACAGATGTCAGTCCTCTGTCTGGACAGGGCATGGACTCCCAGTTGGTGACAGATGTCAGTCCTCTGTCTGGACACGGCATGGACTACCAGTTGGTGACAGAAGTCAGTCCTCTGTCTGGACAGGGCATGGACTATCAGTTGGTGACAGAAGTCAGTCCTCTGTCTGGACACGGCATGGACTACCAGTTGGCGACAGCAACTTTTGACCCAATGACAAGCTATCAGCCAATTTGCAAACAATTGTGCCAACTTGATGGCTCAGTACTTCCTGTAAATAATTTAACAATCTTGATATTTTGTGTGAGTATTTTCTTTGCAATATATGGCATTAGACTTGGATAAAAACTTATTTTTTTTTTGCCCCAACAAACCAAGTCATATTTTATAAATTGACAGCGAATACATGAAACACATAGAATGTCAGCACATGCAAAAATGAAATGTGAAGTGGATGTTTCACAACATTGAGTTTGTATATTCCATATTACTGTGACAAAATCACAATATTAGTTTCACAGTAAGATTCCACCAATTTTTAGACTCAATTTACCATTCTTGAATGACAGTTTTTATTTTATAACTGCAGTTATACTTGTTGAATCTCACTGTTGAGTCCACTGTTACCAGCACTATAAGAAGAAGTTTATCATTTTCTGGAGGGATATAAATGATAAATATTAAACACGGCATGTGTGGAACACAAGCGTTATGATACTTAGTATGTTTGTGTGTTGCAGTTTGTCTGGTAACTGCTACAGCATCCCTGAAATCTAAACAAAGTCAAGGATTTTAAGAGGGCGGGGACAGTTTTATGCAATTTATTTTGCAAATTCCCTTGAAATATTGTACCACAAAAGAATACTTCTCTGTTGATGTTATGATGTTCAATTTTGCACTTTAGTATAACACTGAACTTTTTATGATACCCTTGATAGTGTACTGCAAGTGTAACATTTTTTTATGCTTGTTTTGGATAATTTGTTAAAACAGCTCACAAGTCATCGTCTAATAATAATTTCAGTGGAATCTTCAAATTTTATCATTTCCCTGAATCACGAACATTTATGTGATTCAAAGATTTATGCATACTAATTTCTGATACCAGTAATATACATTTTAGTTCAAAAACCATGAAAAGGGGAATAATCAAAAATTTTAATTTTAGCAGATTTAAAGATATTCACTAGGTTTTAAATTCAGATATTTACATTTTCAAACTCAAGAAAACAATAAATTCAATTTGACATAATTACTGGGATTTAATTTCATGCTTTTAATTAGCAGAGAGACTAGTGAAATTAATGCATAAATAAACATTTTATAGTATTATTTAAATTAATAACTTCAATTTTAAAGGCACGCATTATTTTTTTATATACGTTTCTTTAGTAAAAAAGACAAATTAGCACATGAATTTACAGTATCAACAATTTAAGATTCATGAACTCCGCCCCCAATGGTGAGAATTAAGAGAGAACAGAGACATTGTTTGCAGTGATGTGACTTACCGCTGTTTGCTGTCAACATGTCAATCATTCTTCCTGGGGTGCAAACGATGATCTCAGCACCACGTTTTAATTCAGCAATCTGAAAGTATGTAATATGATTACATATGGCTTGTGTACATACACTGACAACAAAATCTTGAAACTTTAGTGGTCTCATAGCCCTGAATGACTGATTTTCTATGGATCGGAATACATATCTCCCAAATTATAAAGGTAGAAAATATATTCATAAGAATGCAACATTCACTTCTCTCAGAATTTTTTTTTGTGCCAGTCAAAAAACTGGGAGATTAAAAATTAAGAGAGTAAAAATATTTGGTAACACTGATGGTTGCAATGGCATTTGTTGTTTATTTACTCACCTGTTCACTAATGCCTGTTCCACCATACACACAGACACCCCTAACATTAAGTGCCCGACAGAACCTCTTGCATTCTTTGTAGATCTGCATAGCTAACTCACGTGTGGGTGACATGATGACAGCTGCAAACAAAATATTCAACTGTTCATCATAAGTGTTGTACATGTTTTCACATCACAGTAAATCATGCACACATTTTTTTTCAATCTGTGATCATATCTTCATAACTTTTTGAACACATTAATTTTCAGGTGCAACATTTTGCAAACATTTATGTATATTTCTATAATTTCCAAATGCCCACAGAATTTGTCCAACATTTTTGAAAAATTATGCAGATTTATAAGACCCTAATAAAATAATAAAACATTCCCAATTAAATGCATAATGTTTGCTCTTGTTGGATAATTTATTGTTGTAAATATCAAATACCATTTAAATGAGTGTTATGATTTATGGCAATAAGAGTATTATGAATAGTACACTGCTGAGTGCCAAGTCTTGAAGGAAATTACTGTTATATCAGTCCCAGTAGTTGGCCATAAGAGGGTGCTATTGCCCAACAGTTGGCCACAGGAGAGTACTATTGCCCAGCAGTCCAGCAACAAAAGGGTACCACTGCTCCAGCAGTCTGACCAAAAGAGGGGCACTATTGCTCCAGCACTCTGGCCATGAGAAGATGCTATTGAATACACACTACTTACCGAGGGGTCCATCATCTGCCTCTAAAGGATCCTGATCCATAATATGTCTGAACATCGGTAGTAGAAATGCCAATGTCTTGCCACTACCAGTTTTGGCAATTCCAATAAGGTTCCTACCAGACATTATTGCTGGGATTGCCTGGGCTTGAATTGGAGTAGGTTTTTCATATTTGAGTCTGTGCAGGAAGAAGAAATAACAATGCCTGTCAGCTGATCCATCTCATTCAGAGCTTAGAAGTCAATAATAAAAGTAAACTATAGATACATTTTTATACATGTGTCAGTGAAAATAATAGAATTATGTATGGACATGTTCGAAAGTGCTAGACGGGTTTCATGATGTTCTTTATATGAAAAATGTGCGTTATATTTTATGTCACATTCAAACACTTTTTTTTGTTCACGATAGTCACAGCTACAAAGTAGCACGTGTTGGAAATAGAATGACATCACTGAACAACCAAGCGGGCATGAATCTCGTAAAAAGCTTTTGTGTTGGCACTTTGGGATGTCACTAAATTAAAATTTCCAGTAGGTTAAGCTATATAAATTTACATTTTTATTTACCCAGAATTCATCGGATTGAAGATGCATCACACAATCATACTATCATCTCCAGTTAACAGGCTTCGGCACATTAACAGATTTGGAAATGAGGAACAATACAACTAAAGCCTAAATATTCTTTGAGTGAAATACTTTAGTTGTCCCATGGAATCTGCTACTATTTAAGACAAGAACAACTGCTGGACTGACAGCTTCACGTATATACACGATCACAAACTGCTTTCATGAATACTTGGAATGAATATTCTCTTAATAACCTCATGCAGTTTTGACCCAAAATGAGGGAATATTCATTATCAACACATTCTCTGCTGATGCCATTTTTTCATCTTCGTATCTATGGAGATTTTCAGCAGGTGATGTATTAAAAGCAGAAAGTCAAAATCTGAGAACAATTGAGAACTTACTTTTTGAGTACATCCAATACTTTCTTTGAAACCCCACATTGCACCCATGCTTTGATTGGTTTAGGGCATCCTTTACCGCGTACTTTGACATTTTCCAACTCTGCTCGATACGATATTACATCTATATAATGACAAATAATATAAGATAAATGAACATGACAACAAATGCGTACGTTAGTGTTAACATTCTCCTAAGAGAGTTACGAGCAGCGGGGCTACCGAGATGGCCACTTGAGTACAAGATGACAAAACAACGAAAAAATGTTGAAGGTATAAATTCAAGATAAAAAAAAATCTTGTTTTCAGCTCCAGTGTACGCGAAATGGGGTGTCAATTATTGGAGAGTCTTTAAAAGTAAATAACCCAGAAACTTTCAAGTGTTATTTTCAGCAAAGATTACAGGGAAATCTCTAGTTATGTTTATTGATTGCAAGTTATACACATAAATGTACAAATTGTAAACACATGCACATTGTATTTACTCTTTTAGAAGCACATCTCCAATAGAAACATATATAAACCCAAAAACATGTTTCATGTATACTGGATGACTTCACTGTAAACTTATGTAAGTGCATGAAATACTAATAGATCAAATACTGTACATATTTGTTTTTTTCCTTTTAAGGTTGCATACGTGACTTTTTGTCATACTATAAATGAATTGTATAGATGCTTTGACTTGATTGCATTTCTGAGCCCAAGTATGAAGGGATAAATCAGTGAAAATAAAATGTTTTTACATTCAACTCATCAACTCATCAAAATTTAGTAACAAGCAGCCTGTCGGCTGAGATACCTCCGCTGTTAGCAATGCACATTTCAATTAAAGAACAGAAGATATCATTAGAAAATGAACAATATGTAGACTTGCTGTTTTCCACAAGAATTCAAAAATATCACTTTTCACCAAAAATAATCATCAAAATTAGATAATTGAAGATATCACCACAAAATTAACAAATCTGAAAGAGGTCCACATTTAGTACCTATATATGTAATATAAAAGCAATTGGACTTCCGGTTTTTAACAAGTCTAAAATATCACTTTTTACTAAAAATGCCAAAAAATATTCACCAAAATTAGAGAATTAAAGATATCATCATGAAATGAACAAATCTAGGAAAGGTCTACCCAAGGTACATATACACCAAGTATCAAAGCATTCAGGCTTATAGTTTTCAAGAAGAAGTCGAAAAAGTAAAACATTGACACGGACGACGAACAATCACTCATATGATAAGCTCCGCTCGACAAAGTCGAAAGCGGAGCTAAAAATAAATGTCAAACAAAACAGCCAAATGTTTTTTCAAAATTAGTTCTAGCCAAAAAGTATCACCAGTATATAAAGTATAAGAAGAAAATCACAGAAAATTAAAAATCAATACTCCAATATAGTGTAGCATGTCCACTGATGTCAGATAACCGAGGAACTGTTTGAAAGTGACAATGGTAGTAGACTATGAGACACACTACATACATGGGTGTGAATTGTCAAAATATTTTGGTGCTCTGTAACAACATTTGGACATGCTCTACTGACTCAAAAGTTGAAAGCCTTCAACCCTAACCTTCCTCTGTCATTTTCGCTATTTCAGGCACTTCAACGTAGAAATCCCTACGAAATGGTGGATAT